GCCCCGTACCAATTGCTCCACCCTGAACTGCTCACACATGAGCCATCTGCAACACCTCTGCTGCTCTAACTGCTCTGGCTTGAGAGGCACGTTAGGAAATTCAATTTCCTGGCGTTTGCAGGTAGAAGCACTGTGGTGGCAAAGCGCAGAAGCGAAAGCAAGGGCATCCTACAGGTGTGTGGCGAAAGCAGTCAGAAATAAAAATCACCCCCATGACTGCTGTATCATCCCATCCCAGGCCTAAGGCTGCTCATGGCTTTTTCTTTTTGCCTTTTTCAGCAAAATCAAAGTTAAAAACCGAAAGTGCTTTTGGGGTTGGTTTTGTTTTTCTTTCCCTCCTTTTATTTTTTTTAAGGCAGGGTGGTCCCCTCCGCTCCCTCCTGCCGAATTAGCAACAAACCAACAAAACAATTTTGCAGCTGTCACTGCTGCTCTGATGTGTCCACTGTGGGGCTCTCCCAGAAGAACTCGTTCTGTTTTTCTTCGCAGTAGACACAGCTGAGCGGAGGACTCGAAATGAGCAGGCTTTCCAAGCAACAAGCGCAAGGAAAAAATAACAGCGATGGAAGCCATAAACATACCTTCCCCTGGAGGGTCAGCTGTGCGCAACGGGACTTAAAAATACCTTGGCTATGTTCGGTGCTATGCTAATGCTCCTGGTCCCCGAGAAATCCTCAATATTTGGGGGTTGCTTTTGCGACACCGCAGCCTTGGGGCCTGCCCGGGGTGGGTTTGGGGCACGGAAATTGTGCCCATCACTACCTTAGGGTGAAATCAGCACGGTCGGCTTTTGCTGTACGGTAACTCCACGGATTTTCTGCTCAACGAGGCCGCTCGAGGGTTAGCAGTTGCCCGCCGGGAGGTACTCGTTGTGTGCAAATCAATTTGGGCAGCACCCGGGACGGCTGTCAAACAGGAAGGCAACCAGCACCACCACAGCCTTCTCCCTCCTCGTTTTAATTCTTTCACAGAATATTTCTACCACTTTTGCTGATGAAGAATAACCCATCTGATGGCCCTCCTCTCGTTTCAAATGCTTATCCAATCTGCGAGGTGTAACGCCACCCAGGGAGGTCAGGATTCGCAGGAGCCCAACAACGCTCCCTCAAGTGCTGCTGCTGGTGGCACAGAGGCGAGTCGCGACGGAGGGTGAGAAATCTGAAATTTAAATAAACTGCTTAAAACCTGCAGGCACGGGGAGAGATGCGGGAGACCGAGCGACATGGGACAATCTTTTAACCCAATCAACAAAGTGCTCATTGTTCCAGCCTGAGACAAGTAACGCAGCAATAAATATTGAGCCAAGGAAGTTAACCTGTACCCACAGCCTTTGAATAAACACTGAAGTTAAAAGTAAAATCAATGCGAGGCCTTTGGCTCTTGCCAACTTGTGCTTTACTTATTCTTGCTCGGCCTCGTTTTTACTTTTGGGGATTTTCTTTGCCTTCCCTCACGCTATTCACACTTTCCTTTTACACCTCCTTATCACACGGCAAAAGGACAAACAGAAGGAGCTGCCAGCACCCAGCCCCACAGCACAAGTGGCCGCTGCCGGCCCTCCTGGGGGCAGACCAAGGGGGAAAGGGGCCGAGGCAGCCCCCGGCCCCAAACGCTCCCATCAGCTCCTGCCTCTCCTCCAGGGCTTTATCCCCGGCCAGTGAGGCCGGTTTCCACAGAGCACATTAATTCGAGTTCACTTTCAAATCACACTTTATTCATTTGAGCATTATTATATTCCACAGAACCAGGCGTGAGCATCATGCAAAAGGTATTCTGGTCCGCAGCGGTGCATACAGCTGTGTAGGCAGAGGAATATTTGTTTTCCAAGTAATTTGTGCACATTCACAAAATTACAGCTGTCTGCAGTTCTCCTGAAATATCTGCCCTGCTGTTTACAAGCCGTAAAATATAATCTGTCTTTTGTAGAGCTCCAATTGGTAAATTTGGAAATATATATATATATATATATATATAAAAGTGCATGTATTTTATTTTTTTTTACACTTGGGTTGGCTACTTCCCGTTACAGGCTGCTCGGTAAGCCTGGAGAACACCAGCACTAAGCTGAGGAGCTGCTGCCCTGAGACACGAGCGGGCACAGAAGAAAGACCTCAGGAAGCAAGGACCCAAAGCACAACCCAGCTTCAGGCACCAGGCTGCTGCTTTGGCCCCAAGAGCTCACAGGGGGATGAGGCTGGGGGCTCAGCAATTCACAGCACAGCGACCCTGCAGCAACACCAACAGGAGCTGTGTGATGGAGTTTGTGCTGTGGCTACAGACCAACAGGATGGGTCGGCTTCTGGCATCTCCTGGCACACTTATCTGAGCTACTGGGAGACAAAATGCTCCTTTCGAGTCTTTTTTTATTTATTGCCAGGGAAAGGTGAGAAGTTTCACACAGGTGTTTCTGATTTTTGCCTCTTGCTTGAGTACTGTGTGGATGCACCTTCCACACAGGACAACTGACTGTGCCTCGATCCTCAAAATATGAATTAGAAACGTGAGCTGTCCTTCTCTCTCTGAGTTGGAACAGCTGCCAACAACCAGAAGCAGCCCCTGACGCCCCCTGCCCCAGCACAAACCATGAACATCACTTGGGCCCAAGATCTCGGTGAGCAGCCAGTGCACAGAAGAAAAAACATCCCACCAAGAAGTCACCGTGGGGCTGCTCGCTGCCGCTGCACAAACCAGAACGGATCCCGCTGGTGCTAGTGGAGTGACTTTGGTGCACCACCTGACACAGGAAACCAAACCCAGCTCCGCGGGATGCCTCGGCTCCAGCGCACACCCTGGTGGCTGTCACTTAAACCTGGGACAAATCCGGCCCCAGCTGCTCCCAGCGCCGCAACACATCGAAGAGGTCCGCCCGGCTGCACAGCTACGTAGCAAAAGGCTTGAAATTGAGATATGCCACTCAGGTTAATAACTTAAACCACAGCAAGGTATTATGTGAATCCCTACTGCTCAGAAAGTACAAGCCGTAAGTGACAGGCCTGGCAAGAAAGGTTTCATAACCACACAGACCACGTTAGAAATCCTCCATCAGCGTGCCTCGCCGCATCACTTACACGCTGGCATCGGGCATGATCTATGGAGCTGCAACAGGACTCTGGTGACGTCAGGCTATCGAGGACGCTTTTCCAAGCAGCCACCGGGACTGAGCTCCAGCATCTGCGACCTCGTCGGCTCCAGCGCGGGCACCCCTGGCTCCCACACCCAGGGGACAGCCCCAGCACCTCCTGACGTCCTCCCGGCCATCCCCTGCCTCCCCTCTCCACGCAATTTCCCAAGTTTGTCAGCTAGACATGCTAAAGCCAGGATGTAGATTTTCCAATTAGTCTCTGTTTAAACATCTGTTGGTAGACTGCATTTAACATTAGTTATTTGAGCAAAGCACAATTTGATTAGGCTGTCTGAAACGGAGCCAAAGTCTGCAAAATAATAGCTCAATTAAATTTTGTTTTGCTTTCATTTGTCTTATACTTTCCTGAGTGTGATACAGTTGCATATAATCAAGTAAACTAATTCCTTTCAAAATGAGAGATTTCGGTGCCTTTCCCATCTTCTCTCAAAGTTTATTTAATAATCTATTCCATCTTCTCTATGCTTCATCGAACTTCATCTTGACGCAGAGTACATTTCTTTCTTGTGCCTTCAGTCTACTTCCATTTTCTAGGCTTTCACTGAACTCGGATTACGCACCATTAATGTTCCACCTTAACCAGATTAGTAATTTATAAAAGGCAGATTACATTTACTGGGAATATAAAAACATTTCAGCAATGCAACAGTTTTTCCTTTGCACACACCACAAAGTATTCTGCCAACCTGACTGCACAGCTGTAAAACTGTCAAGCTCCACAGCCAAATTCAAAGGCATTCCCAATTGTTTCACTGGTTTTAGTTTCTAAGTTTCTGCTTATTCTGATATGTTGCACTTGTTGCCCCGAAACTTCAATATTAGCTCTAGAGATTTAAACACATGAGGCAAACAGCTGCTCTCCTCTGCTCGCACAAGCTAGATCAAAATGCCTTCTTCTCTGTCTCCCTTGCTCTTTTTTTTTTTTTTTTTTTTAAGCAAATTGCTATAACTCAAGTATTTCTGGCAAAGTTGACGGTCTCAGGGCAAAATTCTGCTCTGTGATCATCGCTGCAGATTTCTCCAGCGCATCCACCTCTGGGCTGGTGCACAAGGAGCACCCAAGAGCCTCACCACGCTGACTAAGGAAACTGCTGCAAGGATTAAAATGAAAAAAAAGTCACAGCAGTTTAAGCTATGTAGATGTGCGTATGATTTAAATTTCCACATTAAACATTTAAACACACTTGTGTTACAATGAAAAAAAAAGTATGCATTCTTTGGGAGAAGAGCTTCTTTTAACCTAGAAGAGTGTTGATACGCCGTACTTTTTCCTTCCCATTTTTTCAACATACTTGTTGCCAAGTGTGAACACAAAGGGACAAGCTGAAATAGGTGTCTGGCAGGCTCTTCCCCGCGCGATGCTGAGAGCCACCAGCCCTGCTGCTGTCGTTCAGCCCCGTCGCCTCCAGGCAGCCCGAGCGCAGCCCCGCGGCCGAGGCAGCCTTAGGCGTGAAGGCTGCTCCGGTCCGGGCGAGTTCAAAATGGGATACGTCCTCTTTCAAATGTAGAGAGCGACTAAATATGACAACCATCTGATGTATGAAAATTATTCACAACCAAAAACAGACAGTCTGGAAATAGCTGGGATGACTTCATTTAGACAGAATTACCCGAATCTGTTTCTAATATACACAGTACACATAATAAATTTTTACAATATGACAAGGAAAACAAACTTAATAAAAGTTCCTGATCTTTTGTTACACAAGCAAGCTATGGCCATGATATGTTTATAATATTTTGCCCATGATCTCACAGCTCAGAAACAAAAGCTAAGCAACGCACCAAACAGTCCCTAGGTATGACTTCACCTCCCCGCGACCGTAATTACACGGATGCGCACACTGCCCCAGCCTTCCTCCTCCCACCGCCATCGCCGCGGCCGCCTTCGACAACTCCTTGCAGTGCTGCTTTTGACTAATCGTTTCCTTCTCTCCTTCTCGCAGGCACCATTTGACTTGGGAAGCTGCAGATTTCTATTACGAGAGTTTGTTTTTTCCAATTACACCAGGACTCATCTGAACGGTAAGAGATTTTTAGCCTGTTTCCTTCACTCCTGGTTATTTGACAAGTGCTTGAAAACCCTGTTATAAACAATATCTGCAGGAAAACAGATGATGTCTTACGATCACAGAAGGTAATTTTTTCAAGAAGCAAACTTTTTGAGCATTTCCCAGATGCACCGCGTCAATCTTGCTGCGTTCTCCTATCTCAGCTGGTTTCCCAGCCCGGGCACGGTGCCAGGCGGGCCGGACTGCCCCTGGTTGTCACTTCTGTTCGATGGCACTTGCACCCACTGCTGTTATTCCAGGCTTCAGGAAATTTTCTAACCGCTGGACAGGCTCCAGTGCTGCGCACTAATAAGTTGCAGATTGGAGAGCTCGGAGGGCGCGCGCCCATGTGTGTGTGTGTGTGTGTCAGAGCAGTGCCACGGTTTGTAGGAGGAGGGGGAAAAAAAAAAAAAAAAAACAACAGTAGTTCAAAAATGCTGCCTACTCAAATTGACAGAAAAGTGACCTCTGCACTTCATCAGAAATTCCTGCAGACTTACAAAATAAAGGAGTTTGCTTTTATCACACACAGTAAGACTCATATGGAAAAATGGAAACACTACATCACTTGACCTCAGGATGCCCCCTTTTCAGCCACAGATGAACATTATGTATAAAAATTGTAAATCAATTTGAGATGTATTAAAAGAGATTCTCTTTTTCTGTATTAAAGGTAATACCTTTTAATCTCTAAATTTATTTTGTAATGTAGGCTAAATGAAGAAGACTTAATTTCTGTAACTGAGTTTTGTTACTCTTAAAGTCTATTTAGCATCTCTGCGTGGTGTTCACATAATTTCCTACACTTTGCTTGCATCAGGAAATAATGAGCAAGCATCACTTACCCAACACTGAGTCACAAATATTTGCCTACATTAGCAGAGCATTAAGAGCCATTTCAAACAACCTAAGGAAACTGTGTTAGCCTTTAAACTGTGATTCACTACTTAGAGAAATTAAGAAACTTTCCTCTTTTAAAGGCAAAAATCAGCTGTGCAAGCTCCTTGCAATATCATTAGGTCCTCGAGCAGACTTTCCTCTCCGAGATCCCAACACAATAGATTTCTTCACTTAATGAAATTACTTTTGAAATTTTCCTACACTCAGTGTTGGGTACTTTGAAATTTCAATCTTTTCACATCCTTGAACTCTCATCAACATTTTTTTCCAGACTGTGTCAATAAAATTGATTACTTGCAGTTCTGAATTCTGTTCTGCACATGGAAATAAAACAATTTGTTTTAAAGTATTTTCTGAAGAAAGCAGAACTTGGCAATCAGATCTACTAGATCAAAAAAGACACACCGGGGGAAGAAAAAAAAAAAAAAAAAGGACAAACCAACTAACCGAGCCTTCCCTACAAAAACAGAAAGAAAAAGGAACCTCTCCAGCAAACAAAAGAAAAGCGATGTCCTGATTTTATCACAGCAGCAGTGGCAGCTAAATTCCTGACGTACACATCATCAGCCTCACCGTTGTTCTCCTGATTGATTTATCTCCCGGTCGGCTAGGAACGATCTTTTCGGATCATTAATATGTTCATTAATTTGTTATCAATTCCAACTCGCTGTACTTAAACCGCTCTGTACCATGGCTCAAAAGTGCCTTGACAGCTTTGCTGCAATCACGCACGTAAGGACCCCTGACTACACAGTTGTTGAGATGCCTCATACCTACAACCAATCTGTTGCTTTTACAAGTTTAATCTAGGTATTAAGGAGCTGATTGTGGAACCATGTCGATATAACATCTTCAACCCAGCTGTACATCATATAAACCGCTATAGGAGGGGGGCAGGCTCCCATGATTCCTAGCCGTAGCGCATACCTTTAACTCCCTGATCTGTAATACTACAAAATACTGCTCTCATTTCTTCCCAAGCACAAGTGGACTACCAGCAAGGGTCCAACAGTGTTATTCCTAATTACCTTTTTTCACTCTTGATCCTGTGGCGCTCATAATTAGTTACCTGGGGCTGCAATCCAATTTGAAGTGATGACAAGAAAGTGATCCATGAAAAAGTAATAAGTTAAATCCAATTTCAGCCTTCCTCTAATTAAATGCACATGGAACTAATGACTCAAACCCTACCATTTCAGTGATAATGGTAATTAGCGAGGTGGGAGTCACTCTCTTTTTTCAACACTGTAGGTGTAAACCACAAGGTAAAATGGCAGGAGCACTCTTAATTACATGTGTCATTTTGTCAGCAATTTACACATTTCTGACCAGTCAGGAATGTTTCATTTGTTTTCCCCTTCCACGATGTGGCTGTAACACCCAGGCCACGCTCAGGCACAGCGAGCCCTCCGACCCGGCAAACTGGTCAGGAATCTCCTTTTTTAAAAGGTAAATGCCTCACGTAAAAGCAGAAATGTGACAGAAAATCATACTGGGGGTGGCCTAGCAGGACAGAGGGCCGGAGGACACCAGCCCCTCTGCAGCATGAAGACGCCGGGCCTACAGGCCCCATGGAGCCTGGCGCCACAAGGCCCTGAGGAGCTGCCATGCGCCGACCTCGGGCAATCCTCTTGATGTCCTCCTCTGCCTCCTTCTGCACAGTTGTGAGAGGAGAAGAGTCGTATTTGCTCACATTTCTCACACTGCCAGCTCTCACCATGGCTGGTTTCCTAGAAGCCACCGCTTGTTGGAATCGTGTGTTTCCAGGACAATCACAAGCTTCTTTCGAGAAAAACAAGTGTGTCTGTCACCTCTCTGCTCAGGTTGAAAAGCTGGAAAAAATGAATGCTCGGGGTTTTAAAAAAATCCAGAAGGGTGGCAAAAAAAAGGCCTCCAGGTTTCAATGAAAAAAAAAAGAAAAAAAAAAACCCTTAGCATCAAAATTTTCAAGCTGATCATGTAATTTTGAGGACCTGACTCAGATTTTGTTATGTTTTGGGGTTGATATTAGCACTTCACAGGCATATTCCAAGAACTGACTAATACTTATAATTGGGCTTAGGAGCAAAAATAAAGAGCTAAAGGTCCTCAGCAGAAACCAGCAAAGCTCAGCTCAACTTTGCTTTATTTCTAAAGTCAAAAGGAAGGAGAAAAAAAAAAAGGGACTCAAGTAAAATTTTCATAGGCGAACTATTTAAGTGCTGCAGAAGTGAAATCTCAACCCAAGTAGAGTTGGTGGCAGAATTTCCACTGCCTCGACTGAGGCCAAACTCAGACAAACTCACGTGTTTGTGAAACAGAGATACTCATACAAATACAATAAATATGCTTGCAAATGTTTTTCCCCTTCCAAATCATCTGCTGAGGCATAATTTCTTTACCAGTTGTTAAATTTACTGCTACGTAAAAAGGTACAACGTGCGTAAAACCCGAGGCTGTTCCTGTTCCTTCTGTGCTCCAAGTGAAACAGAGTACCCTTCCCTTCACCTTTCAGTGTGCAGTATATTTCCAAGCGAACACTTTCTAATTTCATAAAAAACAGTAATTGCCCAAAACAACAAGCTACAGCAGATTACCCTGCTCTTGTGATTTTTCCTCTTCCTCTTGTCTATCTCTTGCTCAAGATACTGAAAAGAAATATAGGATATTGCAGCATGCAAATTAAATTCTACAAAAGCCCAGCCAAAAGCCTGCTTTAAAAAGCACCAGTATGCAAAGGCGAAGACAGCTCCGTCCCCTCCGCCTCCCCCAGTCTCACCCTGAAAATCTAAAAGAAACCCAAATTCTTTCCTTGGCCATGACTTAAAGGGAAGATTTATTTTCTGTTTTGTCAACAGAAAACGAAAGTTTCCATCTTAGTAATTTCATTATTTCTTCTCTCCAAACACACACAGGTTACTCTAAAACAACAAATCTCATTTAATCACATAAAAAAGTCAAGTGATCGGTTTCAGTTGCAAGATACTGACTTGGACGTCCTAAATCTGTTTTCAGTCCAGTATCCAACAGCTCAATGCAACACACAACATTTACGTCTTTTAAAAAAATTGTATTTTTAGTATTGCCAAAACACACATGCACTTTTACTTTCTTGGGAGAAAATGTGTCTCTTGATTTGTTTCCAATCTGTGTGTTCCTGCCAACAACTAAAATGCTTGAAGAACGAAAATGAATAATCGTTAAGAGCATCAGCAATTAAAGCTGCAAATTTTAATCAATACATCTATTAATACAAAGACATATTTATCTTGGCCAGGAAAAATGTGCGAATTCTCAAAAACCTAAGCATACCTGGCCTGCTAAATTATTTGTTTTACAGTTTCAAGGAGACCTAACATCTATGGCAAATATATTATCAACTGTGCGTTAGCCTTTTTCCACTTCAAGTGATTTTTGTAGGTTTGATATTTCTTATATTCTTTTCCCAATTGCTGTTACTAAATCCATTCCTTAACTTTCAATTTTCTTTTGTTTGTGTCATCAGGCTGTGAAACCGGAGGTCACTGCCAAATATAAAGCACAGCAGTGTGAGATAGGCTCAAAATGTGAGTCATCGTGTATTCGGAGATTTATTTTTTTTTTTTTTCAACTATCAGCAGAGCACATCTCTACTCCTGTGTCCAAGTTCTTACAACTGAGTATCTCAAAATTTGCTAAAAGCAGGTCTCCAGGTACCGTTATCAAGGTCAAGAGGTCCCAAAGACGATGGCCGGAGCCCATTGTCATGTAAATGCCATCCAAAGCCCCCCGCCCCAGCGAGGCCACGGGATGCCAGCACGTATTTAAGCACCGTGGCTATTTGATCAGCGAATAAAGAGGGAATATAGGAAATTATCCACGAGGCGATAACAGATTAGCTACACAGCTATACTAGATTAATTCTCCACACCTGTTTGTGCCAGTCGGGTTTACATGACAAAGCCTGCCAACCAGCATTAAATGGCCGAGGCCACAACGACAGACGGGGCTCTCCCCACGCCACGCTCCAGCGCCACGGCCCCGCAGGACCCCGGGGCATCTTATCGGGAGAACCGGCCCCGGGTGAAGGGCATCCCGTCCCCGGCATCACGTAAACACAGCTCCCCACCACACATGGCATGGAGCTTCTCACTGCTGCTGGCCAAGCATAGGAGATGGCAGAGTTAGGCGATGGCTACGGTGTTCTTGCTATGCACAAAGTCTGTTTGTTGGGAAAAAAATACAGATCTGCTAACTGCTAGGGCTGTCCAGTGAGACCGATATATATTAACGATGTGCAAAGATGGCTTGGTTCATTATTCAAGCAAACTTTTGAAAAACGGGCGCGTTTCCACCACCCTCGGTATTTATTCTACATACTGTCAGAACGGGTATTGCCTCGTCAGCGCGGTGTGATCAGACGTCGGGGCTGTGGGTGTTTGTGTGTGTGCAGTTTTACTCAAAAATCCTAACCCAAGCATCGTGATTTCCTTTCAGTCATACATCGCATTCTACGGATGCACTCAAGGTCTGTTATATTCAAGAGGACTTCCAGTACGTTTAAGACCGCAAAAGCTCCAGGAGTGAGGAGGAAAAAAAAAAAAAAGAAAAAAAAAAAGAAGTCTGGGCAGTCATTTGAATCAGTGAGTGACAGGCTGGGCCAGCTCTCTGTATACATTAATAAATTAGAATTTTAATTGTGTCTCTGACTGCAGGAGCTGCTCCAGTACTTTAATACGTACCAACAATTGGCTATGTTATGGAATCCGCGATGTGGCCTTCACTGTTGACCTCTGCAACACAATTCCCAGTCTGACTACGGAAACTGTTTGGTTTGATCCTTTCAACTTATTTGAATCCTGACAAATAAGCTCACAGCTGAAAGGTCAACACAGTCATATTTCATCCTCTGGAGCTATTCTTAAGACATCTGCACAACAAAGCACTTCTTTTAGTACCTGACACTGGACCTAGCCAGCACAATCTCTCATTAAAAATGTCCCCAGTGGAAGAGTCTATTAAAAGGCATATGGATCAGCTATGGATTTACCAAATAAAATATTTTTGAAAGCATTAATGTAACGGTTTGGATTATGGCACTCTACACTGCCAATAAAACGTATATTTGCCCAATGACAAAATGCTTCATACTTTCCAAAAGAATAATAGCTCAGCTATAAAGTGTGAGGTGTTGTCCAGCAGCCCGAGCACGGGGGTGGGAGCCAGGAACTCATGAATCTTAATCCTACCTCTAAAACCAATTCCCTCTGTGATCCTAAGCAAGTCACTTAACCTGCTTCCCTCAGTTTCCCCGTCCAGAACTGGGATAATGCTACTTACTTATCAGACTTTCCTTCTGGGGATGTTTTGGAGATCAGTATTTGCAGAATGCTTTGAAGATGAAATCACTACACAAAAGCTAGAAGTTGCCCTCGCCGGGCCAAGGGCTGCAGTTAATAGATATTCCTCACTTAGGCAAAACTCCCCTTGAAGTCACGGTGAGCTTTATTTGTGTAAGAACCACAGGATCAGGTCCTCTAGCTTGACTGTCAAGGCCTTTAGTGATTTTAGCTTTACCTTCCATCTTCTACTACATATTTAAAGAGTCTAGGATCTGTATTTCTGGAGGAAAATAATCTGAAGCACATATAAAAGGCAAGAGAGGCAGCAATGCTGTCAGGGAACTCATGGTGATAGTATATCAAACTAAAAAAAAATTAGAAAGAGCAAAACAGACATGAGTTTGACAATGTGCTATGACAACAACTGAAAAAAAAAAAAAAAAGAAAGAATTTGGGGCTACAGAGGCTGAAGCATCAGATATAGAACAGCGAGATAAGATAAATGTCCCAGCTACAGGGTTCTGTATGACTGCAACTGAGCTGCTGCATTCAGGAACTTATTATCAAAACCAGAGTGAGACGCTGCAATTGCAAAGAGTGCAATAATAAAAGCAATAACCAGCTGCAAGCCAGCAAAGTGGTCAAGGGTCTAGAAGTGCTGGTTTACGAAACGTATAAAGAACTAGATACATATAATTTGCCAAAACTGGCAAGTACATGTTAGTATCTCAGATGTTTGAGGAGTGTGAACACGAGGCAAGGCAAGGGACTGACTCAGTATTTATACAAGCGGTATTACTTGGAGCAAGAGGATGGAATTAAAGTGGAAAGTTCCTGAGTGTGTGCTTTGTTATGGAAAACCGTCTGAAGGAAAATAATAGCGGTCCCACCATCACTTGGGATTTCTAACACTAGAACAGCAACAGAAAAAAAGGAAAATGTGATACATGATCTAATAGTTCTTTCTTGTCTTTAACTCCTGTGATTTATCCCGCAAGACTAGCAGAACGTACTCCAAAGCCACATATGTGTGCATACATCTTCTGTTTGGGAGTGCTATATTGGTTTTAGCTTTCTGAATTCATAACAGCGCAAAGCCTGATAATATTTGGATTTTAGTTCTGAAGATGTCCATAAATCAGCAGACAATGAAAGGGAAAAAAACACTCTGATGATATCCCAATATTTTCCCAATATCCTTGACACAGCAAATCAACAGTGTGAGCGAACACAGACTACAACCTGAACAGCAATCAAACAGAAATGTTAATGCAAATCTCTTATGCGCACTGACACTGTAACAAAAGCTATTCCATTTTGTAATAATCCGAGCCCACTAGATGCTAAGTACACGCTCCACGTTTGTAAATATGTCATGGGTGGGATTTTCAAGAGCACCTAGCGCTGTTCCCCACTCCGCTCCTGCTTACACGAGCCACAGCTGCTCCGTGCACTTCCCTTGGAGGAAACTGGTTCAAAACCAAACGCTCCTGCAGGTCCCACACCAATGCTCACAAGGAGCAGCATACACACACCTTTTGCTAGCAAGAGAGCCCCCCGTGAAGGACGTCAGCTTCCCTTACCTGAAGGGCTGGCTGTTTGTCATTCCTCTTCGGAGACTTTAATCCACTAACTTGTTGCTGCTGCTGCTGCTGCTGTTGCTGCTGCTGCTGCTGTTGCAGTAGAAGTTGCCGTGCCACCTGGAGAGCCTGCGAGGAAAGAGTGGGGAAAATTGAGTTTGCAGCAGACAGGAGGTGGGGAGCTACAGGCACAGCATAGGGTCACGACACCCCTTTGGTCGTCGGGCACCACTCTGCTCCCAAAGCTTCCAGGAAACAGATCTCTGCACTTGCACCTGACGGGGTGATATCCACCCAACGCAATTCCCACTTTGACTATGGACAAAAACAGCAGCACCTCCAGTTTGGCTTCCATGTGGGAACGTGGAAGAACTGCTGAGATCCTGGTGGTGAGCACCGCCGGGTTATCTGCACCCTCTGCCCCGAGCAGCACATGGCCCCGTTTGCTCCCGGGCAGCCTCACGCACTAACAGCTTCTGTGCTCCTCTTCTCCAGGGGTCAGGTCTGGTTTACAGAAGAGGGCAGTCGTATATCACAGTCTGCTCTCCTGAGCACCGCAGGAAGGCAGAGAAGTTTCTGGAAAGCTATGGCAGGAGAGCTATGGGCGAGCAGCAAAGGGACACTGCAGAGCTGCGGGATGAAGGGACAAGGGACATGATACCCAAAAGAGCCAGCGAAGAATCGCTCGGTGGCAGATCTCTGCAAACTTCTCTGCAAAGTGAGGGAAAAGCAGCCCTGGGCACTGCAGCCAGCTGCTCCACAAGGCCCAATTTCTTCGTTGGGTAGGGAAAAGACAACACGAGGAGGTGAAACCCAGGGGAAAGCAGGAACAGGAGCGAGTACCTCCTCCTCAGCCCCGAGCCAGGGGACTGGAAGAAGAGGCTGGTCCCTGCACGGAGGGCTGCGGCACAGCTGAGGCTCAGCTGGCGAGACCCCAGCCCGCGGCTCCTGAAGGATTCACCAGCACCGGACTCGGGCTTTCTTGGTCTCCTTGGAGACGTTCGGTACATGTGTAGGTGGCAAAGTGGGAAGGCTGAAGACTTCATTAATGTAAAACAAGAAAAATAGTCCCTTTGCAAGATGCCTACATGGAAGGAGGGAAAAAACCTTCCCCACTCCTACTGTGTATGCTCTCTGAGTGATTTAATTAATACCTATTTAATTAAGGAGTCAGATACGCTTCGGGTTTCACTCGCTTCTCCAAGTTGCCAAGTGTTTCATCTCCGTGCCGAGCAGCCAGGCAGGGCTTGACACTGAGGATAACGTGCGGGCTGGAGGGACTGCGGGCTCGGGGCTGATACCTTGCACCTTGCCTCGCTTCCCAGGGGACGTGGGACGGCTGCTGGTGGCCAGCTTGCCAGGACAAGCAGGGAGAGGAGAGCTTCCAGCGCCCCAGCAACGTGCCCTCACTTCAGAGGTGGTAACAAACCTCCCCTGGGTCAGAAAACCCCCTAAGTGTGGATGCGATGCCCAGCAGGGCTGGGTGCGACCGAGGTAAAATCAGATCGTGCGTTTGCAGCCGCAGAGATGAAGCTCAGCACCCGCAGCACCTCTAATGTGGCACAGAGACACGGCACAAAGACCCAGAGCCCACCGGGTACAAAAAGGCAACAAAGGAAACCTTCACGCACAAATTATTAAGTACGGCTAAAATATATACGTATAATTTCTACTGAATTAGCTTCTTTAGCTGTTAAAGCATCTTCAAGGGTGAGCAGAGGCAGCAGAAAAATATCCTAGAAGATTTAAGGGGATGGGCAACAAACACTCACCTACTTAACAGGGGTGTTGTATGGCTTATTTAATTAATGAATACTTGTAAAGCACTCTGAGTTGCTCAGACAAGAAGCGCTATACAGTACAAGCGCAACATATTATTATATATTATTAAGACTGGCTCTGCCGAAGAATAATTCCAGGTAAATGTGCAATCAAATGATCATTTTAGTTCCCAGTAATTAGATTCAATAGGCCAAAAAAACCACGGAAGCCTTTCTTTAATCATACACTAAACAATCAGAACATCCCTAACCTTTCAAGCTACAGCCTTTTTGAATAAAACATCATCAACTTATAGATATTATTCCAAAAAGAAACCAGTCACCATATGTGTTGTCTCTTTGAAATACAGTTGCTATAGCAGACCCTGCATGCATTTCATGTGATATGATCATATTCTATCCGTTCTGGCAGCTGAGAGGTTGCACAACTAAAATTGGCTGCCAGAAATTTTTTGAAGATTCCCAGAACAAGTAGCTGTGCAAGAAATGCCTGCTTTCTACTGGAGCTGGCTGCGAGCTCCGTGCAGCCCGGCGGGACGGCCACCGCCACCACGAGCCCTTCGGTGCTCGTCCCAATGCCCATGGGGTCACTGCTGAGGCTCCTGGGGGCGCAGGCAGCATTTTGCCCCTGCTCCAGTCCCACCTGCACGGTACCCACGCAGAATTGGACGTGGTGGCCGGAGGGAGCATCGTGGACGGGCAGGGACAGCACTGGGAGGAGGAGAGGTGCAGGTGAGGCAGCGCTCAGCCGGCAGCTCAGAGGATCACAGCCTGAAGCGGCGCTTCCCGTGCCTTCGCTCTCAAGATTTTGCTCTTCCGCTTATAAATAACCGGCAGCAATAAAACCTAAGCATCAGATGAGCTTGGGTTTAAGATGCGGAAGGAAGGTTGTTTATAGCTCAG